TTTTTTTTTTTTTTTTTTTTTTTTTTTTTTTTTTTTTTTTTTTTTTTTTTTTGTTCAATTATAACGTGTGAAAGTGGAAAATTTGAACCTTTGATGATCGAGAATGTATACCTTTTCAGATTAGGCCAGAGGTAGCAGCAGTCGTGATTATGAAATGGGCAGAGAAAGAGAGTGCATGTGCAAAGCCTAAATAATTGAAGTTAACAGAATATGATGGCACATAGCATCTTGTGTGTCAAAATCTTCCAAACAGAGGGATAGTGAAAGGAGGAGAAAGAGTGTAACCAATGCCAAATTTTACAACACTATGGGACCCCTTTTAGAACACCAAATTTTGAATGGTTACATCAGTAATGGGTTAAATTTTTGGGCTGCTAAGATGGAAAAACATGGTAATCCAACCAAAGTCAATTCTTTTTTTGTGGTAAAAGTAAGAGTGACAGAAAAAGTGGTGTGTAAATGAGTGGTGGTGTTTGTGAAAGCAGCAGCAACATTCCCCCAAAGTTAATGCTCACAGTTGGGTATCATCTACTTCATCTCTTACTCATCTTCACACTCCATTTTAAATCATACACTTTTCTGTTTCCTTTTGCTTTTATTGGCTCTGAAATGATTCTCTTTTTCCCAAAAGTAAAGCTGTTATTTATTATGATCCATGTAAATTGGTGTTGCATTGTTCATGTGTTCATCAAGCTGTAAATACATTTCTTTGCGAACTGTATCAGAATAACTTACGTTCTTTCTATTCAACATTTTGACGTCTACATCTTGGCACGGACTTGTGCTATGAGCTCCCTTCTCAGAAGCTTTCCCGAAGCCGACTTCGGAACGCTACTCGTGAAGGTTACTATTTTTAATCTCTTGAATGGTGCAACCTGCAAAGGGAAAGAGCTGATCATTTTCAAGAATTCCTTTGTCAAAATGATGGTTCCCACTTTTTGCGTAGGGAATCAATGTTTAAGTTTGCATTTTTCCACATCTTTTGCCTTCTTGGGTTTATGCAGCAGGCCCATAAAAGGCGGCCTCTTAGTAAAGGCTTGGCTTGCTGCTGCCCCTCTTAGGAAAAGACACAGCAACCCCGATTCGTGAGGTGGGGCCATGCCATCGCTAACAAATATCGTCCTCCTTAGGCTTTTCCTTTTAGGCTTTCTCTCAAGGTTTTTAAAACGCGTTTACCAGAGAGAGATTTCCACACCCTTATAAATAATGTTTTGTTCTCCTCTCCCACCGACAAAAAGTCTCTTTATTGTTCTTGTTTGAGGGTTTGCAAAATATTACCTGACCCGCGATAAAACTTTTAACATCTTCTTCATTTATTGAGCTGTTAGGTGAACGAACAACAAATGCAATAGGGACCTCACCGGCTTTATCATCAGGATATCTGCAGGTGGAAATTCATGGCAGAGGTTAACAAGAAAGTATGAAATAGAAAGGAAAATCCACTACGAACGTCCACATAATGATGGGACTATAGATGCTACTATTTACTACTTACGGGATCACAATGGCATCTATTACTTGAGGATGGGAAAGTAGCAGTGCTTCAAGCTCCGCTGGTGCAACCTAATATGCAGACAAGAAAGTGACAAAAAAATTGATATCAATCAACAACGAATGCAGCTAGAGTTGATACTTCCAAGAAGAGGAGACAATGCAGACATAGCATTAGAAGACATACTTGCTGGAGCCGAGCATATGATTAGTACATCTTATACTCATATTCTTTAACTGAGAAGAACTTAGCATACAAGAATCTATAGCAGTTTCTTTTGATTTAAGAGAAGTTAAGTTCTGATATAATGCTTTGTGAGATCCTACGTTGGTTGGAGAGGAGAATGAAACCTTCTTTATAAATAAGGGTATGAAAACCTCTCTCTAACATACGCATTTTAAAGGAAAAGCCTAAAGAAGACATATCTATTAGTAATGAGTTTGGACGGCCCTAGAAAAAGGAAATGAAGCACTCCCAAATGGAAAAGTTGATGTTTGTTGAGGTAAAAAAGAACCTGAAAACCATAACACTTGATGAGTTCTTTGATTCTGTCCACAACAAACAATTCTCCTTCTTCATTAAAGTATCCGATATCTCCAGTATGAACCCATCCTTGATCGTCTATGGTTTGGCTGGTGGCTTTCTGATTGTTGAAATATCCTGAAATGTTCATGCGAACATTTAGCGAATCAGACTGGGACATGAAAATGGAAAAGCTTGAAATGGGTCCGAAGTTGATTAAACTGACAACAAATCATCAGAGAAACGAGATTGGCATCTTAAAAACAGGGGGAAATTTCAATTCTTTTTAGCAGATCCAATCAAACAAGTTCAAGAAAGTAATCTCCCGTCCTCCCGTGACGTAGGATCTCACCATTTTACTCTTAAAAAAGGGACCAAAGTAGACAATATTTGTAGCTGTGGCCTTGAGCTATTACAAATAGTATTGGAGTCAAACACCGAGCTCCAGCAAAGAGATTGAGCTTTGAAGGGGGTGGACACGAGGCGATGTGCCAACAAGGACGTTGGGCTCGGAAGGGAGTGGATCATAAGATACCACATCTGTTGGGGGGAGAATGAAGCATTCTTTATAAAGGTGTAGAAACCTCTCCCTAGCATACGTGTTTTAAAACCGTGAGACTGGTGGCGATACATATCATGTCGAAGACGGATAATATTTGCTAGCGATGGGCTTTGACGGTTAGAGAAGAGTAAGGATCGGATCAAGGTATAACTCTGGTTTGGTGTTTGATACACCCTTCAGTATAGTTAGTATGGATGAGCACTGTTCATCATTTAAAGAATATCCAAAGAGAGATCCACCTTTCATCATATTTGGTCCTCGCACGCATATCTCCCCTGTTTCACCGGGTGGGAGACGCTTCTGCGTTTCTGTACTCAAAATTTGGGCCTCAATTCCTGAAACAAGGAGTCCAGTTGACCCGGATAGTCTAGATTCGACCCCCAAATTCTCCATTGAAATGACTCCACAAGTTTCTGTCATACCATACCCCTGTACACCATAGATTGCTACCCAAATCAACACAACATCATATAACATTTCCTGTAACAGCCAAATGAAAGTGCAAAATGGAGGAGTTGAGAAGGAACAGTTCAAAACCTGCGTGATCTTGGTCTGAGGTAAAACCTTAGAACATTCTTCCATCACATCCTTCCCAAGAGGCGCCGCCCCAGATAAAATCTGCTTCAACGACGACAAGTCATACTTCTTCACCACACTTTGCTTCGCCATGGCTATAATTACAGGCGGAACAAGATAAAGATGAGTGATTCTATACTTCATCACCACTCCCAAAGCCTTTTCCAGCTCAAACTTCGCCATTGAAACGACGGTGTTTCCTCTTTGAAGCTGCGAGTAAAGAATTACAGAGAGACCAAATACATGGAACATTGGGAGAAAGCATAAGAACACGTTTCTAGGATCACCAAGAAGGTCCTGATCATGGGTCACCATTAACGACGTCGCTATGAAGTTTCTATGAGTCAGAATCACTCCCTTGCTAATCCCTGTCGTCCCAGATGAATACAAAAGTGCCGCCACATCGCTCTGACCCACTTCACTCACAGGAAAATCGGACACGTCGCCGGAGTTTTTGATCAAATCGGAGTAAACCCAGATATTGGGGCGGGAGGATTTCGAAGAAATTTCAGAACCCAAGATTATAGAAGGCAAGTTGAGTTTACCGATTACGTCCCAGAGTTCTGGAACGGTGATTACGAGCTTGGGGTTGCAGTTCGCGACTTGCTTTGATAGTTCCACGAAGGTGTAAGCAGGGTTACAAGTGGTGGCGATGGCTCCAATGGCAACAATGGCGAAGAAACAAACAGGGAAATGAATGGAATTAGGCGCAAATATGAGAACCACATCGCCTTTTCGAATCCCGAGGTGGATAAACGCATGGGCCAACTTGGAGACTTGGATTTGAAGCTGACGGAAAGTTAGGGATTCGCCGGAATCAGCGTCGGCGAGAGCGAGGCTATGAAGGAAAGAGGAGGAGTTTCGGAAGACAAACGAAACAATGGAGATAGTGGGGTCGGTTGGAAAGTGGATTGGGGGACGTGGGGAAGTGTAAATCTGGGATTGGGGATCGAAAGATTTGGCCATCGCGATCGCCATAGCCAAAATGGGGTTGAAGAAAAACGATGGATTTCGAATCGGGATGGTTTGATCGTTTGTTTAGAGGTAGCCGAGTTTTGACTTTTCCGGTGAAGATGAACAGATGAGAAGATGATGTTGAAATTGACAGAATTGATTACTAAATGAAATGGGTAGAGTTTCCTCCCAACACGGCTCGATTCAACAAACTCATAAACAGAGACTTGATACCATGAACATACTCATTAACGATGATAATCTGCTAATTTATGCATTCATAAGTTAATTTCATGGCATTTCAATGAATATTATTACCATCTTAGATTTGGAATATTTACCAATGAATTCTTGAAGTTCGTGACAGAAAATTGGATATTCATAATGCTAATTAATGGCAAGTTGCTTTGTCTTCACCATTGAAAAAACGTTATTTTATTTTATACATTAAGTATTGGCCTTTTGAATTTTACTTCCAAAGTTTTCAAAATGCGTCTATTAAATATATTATAAATGCGTAATGTTTTGTTCCCCTGGAGGATGATCTGTTTTCCACACCATTTATTCCTCTCTCACATGGATTGTGAGATATTTCTCTCTCAAACCCATGTGGAATCTCACACTTGTTTGGAGGGAGGAACGGAACATTCCTAATAAAAGCATGGAAGCCTCTCCTTAACAAAAACATTTTAAAAACCTTGAAGGTAAACCGAAAGAAAACAATATCGGTTGGTGGTAGGTTTGTGCCATTAAACCAAATGATCCACATATTGTAAAAAAAATTATGATGATATAATATTTCAAAAAATAAAAACCTAATGTAACCAGCATTTATGATACTAATGATTTAGTAGATAAGTAATACAACATAGGAAAAATACCTTTTTGAAGAAAAAGAAAAAGACTTAGATTACTCTTTTATTATCCATAACTAAAAATAAATAAATAAAGAAATAATTTTTTTTTTTTTTGGTAAGAATCTTAAATTAAATTAAATGTTTTAGGGTATGTTTAAAAAAAAAAAAAAAAGACTTGGATTACTCTTTTATTATCCATAACTAAAAATAAATAAATAAAGAAATAATTTTTTTTTTTTTTGGTAAGAATCTTAAATTAAATTAAATGTTTTAGGGTATGTTTAAAAAAAAAAAAAAAAGACTTGGATTACTCTTTTATTATCCATAACTAAAAATAAATAAATAAAGAAATAATTTTTTTTTTTTTTGGTAAGAATCTTAAATTAAATTAAATGTTTTAGGGTATGTTTAAAAAAAAAAAAAAAAGACTTGGATTACTCTTTTATTATCCATAACTAAAAATAAATAAATAAAGAAATAATTTTTTTTTTTTTTGGTAAGAATCTTAAATTAAATTAAATGTTTTAGGGTATGTTTAAAAAAAAAAAAAAAAGACTTGGATTACTCTTTTATTATCCATAACTAAAAATAAATAAATAAAGAAATAATTTTTTTTTTTTTTGGTAAGAATCTTAAATTAAATTAAATGTTTTAGGGTATGTTTAAAAAAAAAAAAAAAAGACTTGGATTACTCTTTTATTATCCATAACTAAAAATAAATAAATAAAGAAATAATTTTTTTTTTTTTTGGTAAGAATCTTAAATTAAATTAAATGTTTTAGGGTATGTTTAAAAAAAAAAAAAAAAGACTTGGATTACTCTTTTATTATCCATAACTAAAAATAAATAAATAAAGAAATAATTTTTTTTTTTTTTGGTAAGAATCTTAAATTAAATTAAATGTTTTAGGGTATGTTTAAAAAAAAAAAAAAAAGACTTGGATTACTCTTTTATTATCCATAACTAAAAATAAATAAATAAAGAAATAATTTTTTTTTTTTTTGGTAAGAATCTTAAATTAAATTAAATGTTTTAGGGTATGTTTAAAAAAAAAAAAAAAAGACTTGGATTACTCTTTTATTATCCATAACTAAAAATAAATAAATAAAGAAATAATTTTTTTTTTTTTTGGTAAGAATCTTAAATTAAATTAAATGTTTTAGGGTATGTTTAAAAAAAAAAAAAAAAGACTTGGATTACTCTTTTATTATCCATAACTAAAAGTAAATAAAGAAATAAATAAATCCCTTTTTTCGTAAGAATCTTAAATTAAATTATTTTAGGGTATTTTTTTTTTTTTTAAAGGAGGCGAAGAGCGACTCAGTTTTACTTGGATCCAAGCGTCTCAGCATGCGCTACGTGTCCTTTGTGGCCTCCAACCCTTCGCCTTTCCTTCTCATTTCGGTCGGTCGCCATTCAGATTCTTCCATTCCATTTCATTCTTCTCTACGCCAATCCCATTTGCTGAATCTGCTAATCATGCTCTCATCCATGGCGGATCCTTCTCTTTCCTTGTGTTTCTCTTCCCTCTCCTCCCCTTTCTGCATTTCCCGCTCCCTCCACCTTTCTTCTCCTAGATTCTCCCTATCTCATCATCGCCCTTCTCGTCTTCTTCGTTTCTCCGTCAAATCCTCCGCCTCTGGAAGCTTCATGGGCGACGATTCCTTCGGATTGTTTCCTTGGACTGATGGTGATACCGGTATGTGGCTTCTCCACCTTGTTTCTTTTCGCGTTTCTTATCAAATCTGCTGCTGATGCCCAAGGATCGATGTGTATGACATTTTCCCCAATTCTAATTACCTAATTTGATGAGATTTCGTTTGATTGCGAAAAAGGGGTTTCCCCCCTTTTCATTCGATTGAGCGAGGAGAGGGTTGTTTTCTCTTCTTCTGTTGTTACGTTAGGTTTGATCATTCTTATCGAAGTGCATTGGGTGGGTAGTTTTCCGGCATCGAGTGATGGGAATGAAATATTTGAGTTCTGTTTATTTATGAAGCCATCTACTAGAATTAGGGGTTGCTCAAAATTGAAATTTTGCACAGAAATTCATTGGGTTCCGGAGGAGAGAGTCACATTGTTCACTCCTGATGGACTTGTTCAGATTGGAGGCTCCATCGTCCCTCGACGAATTTCTCCTTCAGATGTATGCCCTTCACACATACAAGCTCATTGATGCTTCACTTCTTTTTTCAGTTCTGATCAAAACTTGCCATCACAGTGTTCTATATTGTTATTTACTTTAGCGCCTCGAAACTTGATTCAGTTGATGCAATCTGATTCGTATCTGGATTAAAAGGATGTTCATATGACAGAAAAAACAAGGGAAGTCAAAGGCTTACCAACGCTTCCAACGGTTTCAAGAGAGTGATTACATGGATCCAAAACAGAGCATATGTCTTGGTGCCCTTTTTGATATTGCAGCTACCAATGTGAGCCTTTTGGGTTTAAGAGCATATGTCTCGGTGCCCAATTACATGGATCTCAAACTCTTTTCTCTAGGCTTTGTCTTAAGCTTTCCTTGTTGTTTTTAGGGACTTGACATGGGAAGAAGACTTTGTATCTTTGGGTTTTGCCGTTCTGTTGAGATGCTCAGTGATGTTGTGGAGGACATTGTTTTGGAGCAAGGTGGAGAGGTTTGTTATATAAATCCATTTGCACCGTTTCCGCGCCCGTCCCCGTCCCCGTCCCCGCCCCCTCCCCGATTTTTGACCCTCACCAATAGCTTTCAGTGATGGGGACAAAGTTGTTTGAGTTTCATTTTTGCATGTTGTGATGATGATCAGGTTGTAGCAGCAGAAAAGGCAAGCAAAGGGGGTTTGCAGGAGAAGCTAACCATGACAGTTGCTGTGCCACTTCTGTGGGGGGTTCCTCCTGCTTCTGAAACGCTTCACTTAGCTGTTCAGAGTGGTGGAGGGATTGTGGAGAAAGTGTATTGGCAATGGGATTTTTTGTAAAGTATGATATTCTTACAGCCATTTAACCATTCTCTTGTGCATTCTGTTCATAAAATTGATGTAATTATATGTACAAAACTCAAAAGGGCAATTGTCACACGTTATTAACTAGATATTGAAAGTGTATCAAAAGGAATATGTAGCTTATTTGAGCTCATCAGCTAATACAACATGTTCATATATGAATATTCTACATGTTGGTTCATCTCTCTTGATTTAGCCTCTCTTGCCATTTGATGGTGTTTGTGTTGGAGTGGAGTTGAGGACTTGATTTCTTTGCTAACTAATTAGACCCCTCTTTTAGAGTTTCCTTCTAAAGGAGCAAGGGTTGCTTGCCAAGAATGTTGGCCCTTTTTGGGTTTGGGTGGTGGCTTAAGTGGACGTATACCTTTCATTTGAGAGTATCAAAATTCTAACATGAAACCTCCCACCTCCCACGTTGACGTGGGCTTTAAACTTTACAGTTCAAGAAAGAAAGAAAGAAGGGAAACAGGAGGGAGACTCCTTATACATTCGAGTTCACTACTTCACCTAAAAGTGTTGAAAGGAAAGACTCAACTCCTCCTATACCGTTCAAGAAAGAAAGAAGGGGATTAAGGAATTAAGGCAGTGAAGTTCGTATGCTAAGAGGGGAAATGCCTACATCTAGCACATGAAAGAGCGGATTCGCTTCCTATTTCTTCTTAGATGAGATGTTCCTTGAGTGCAGCCAAAAGAAGTGCTGTTGTAGCCTGTCGGAATCGCCTCTTTTTTTTTTCTAGAATCACCACTTTTAGAATAGAATGCTTGATGTTCTAAGTTATTTTGGACGTCAAAGTCGAAACCTATTATTTTTGAAGTTGGGAACAAATGATATGATGATAGTACGTAGTAGCTAGGCATATCGAGAATGATTGTACACGTAAATTTCAAAATTATAACATCCTTCATTGGGGCTTCCTACCCAGAAAACAATAATAATGAGTACTCATTTTTATTATATATTGTATATGTCAAAAGCAGTAGATTGGATTGGATAGTTCCTTTCCCTGTCTCTCCCATGGCTACCACCAACACCATCTCTTTCTTAATCTTCTCTCCTTCCTTGTTACATTTTCATTCCAGCATCTCCTTAATCTTTCTTTATCAACCCTTCTGGTTTCCTCTCTGATATTCGTAATAATGCCTGCTGTTTGCTTGCAGCTTTCCAAATGTTAGCCCTTCAGATTTCTGGAGAATGCAATTCGATTTCAGAGAACGCCCCGGTTTGGAACTTCTTGCTCAACCCTTCTGCAGCTAACTCGTTTCTTTCTTCATTCTGAAACCAAACAACCACGATGATATTACACTTTCTCATGAATATCATATCATATCATATTACACAGCTTGTACACAGCTTGTACCTTGCTTTTCAGACTTATAATAATCGGCCCAGATCTCGATTCTCGATAACACCCTTAACAAATCAAACAAAATAGGTTAGAAAGAGATTGCAGAACACATTTAATCACTCTGGGAAAACTACATAAAGACTCTCACCAATGTGTATATCTGGGAATTCAAGACAGAGTTTAGCCAGAGATGGAGCAATCTCTACCTGCATTTAATAATAAAAAATAAAAAAAACATGTCTAGAGTCAAAGAATGAGCACAGATGCAGCTATGTGGAAAGGAGAGGAAAATCTGATACATACATCTGAAAGTTTTGTGGTCAAGTGCTTTGACTTATATGGTTCCAACAATGGGAAAAGGTCACCAGTTCTTGTTAATTCAATCAGGCAATCCCACTGCAAGTCCAGTTCCGCCATGTTTGTTGCAGTAAGAACTATCACATTGTGACACTTTATCTACAGGAGAGCAAATCTTTAGCCACTGATTTGAAGAAACACCACTGCAGAAATCATATCAAATGGATTCAAATGTGAGGAAATTCAACATATTACAAGGCAAACCGTACCAACGGGACAGGCAACTTTTCATGATGCAATAATTCAGTGATCCCTTCTGGCAGCTGAGCCATCTGAAAAGAAAACACCAGTTTATCACAACAGAACGAAACCGGAACATCTATTTTCGGTTCAAAATTACCTCATTTCGGTCACCGGTGCAATGCTCCCCTATAAGATGCCTGAGATATTCTTCAAATTCTTCATCAGGAGCCTATTGAAGCCAGTTGATAAAAGCAAAGGAATAAAGGTCTCAGTTCACTCCAAAATATGATATTCTCAATTTCATTCAACTATCTCAATGCGAAATTGCCAAAGAAATAAAACGACGCACCAGTCGAACCCCAAATGCCTTTGCGATACCTCCTAAAGTTGCATCAGAAAACAATGGGCCTACTCCTCCATATATAAACACCTGCAATAGCCAGCAAGTAAATGAGGCTAGTGCTTCTTATAATTTCATGACAACAAAAAACCAAGAGAGTTATTTTGCAGGTTGATTAGTACCATCTCATTGGAAGACCTTCTTAACTCTACTTCTTCAGCAACAGAATCTATCTGATACAATATGAAAGAACAGAAGATGAAATGACAATGAGGATTAAAAGCCCATGATAGGCACATACACAACAATTTACATTTAATATCATTAAAGAAATCTGTTGTTGTACATGCAATGAGTTATTATACACAATTCAAACAGGTAAGCTGATTCAACCAAGAGCTAGAAATCTGTTGTTGTATAACTTACATCATTCCGGACAATGGAAGTATGTGATATAGACCAACCAATAGAGTGCACCTTTCTTCGCAGTGAGAGTCCCAATCGATCCTCAACAGTGCCGAAGCTGAGCTATGGGCAGATAAAGGATAATGAAAGACTTCAGCGATAACAGTCGATAACATTTCAAAATCAAACTGTACTTTGTTTTCTATTTCTTCCCTCTTTTTTGCAATAACAATGACATCTCAGACAATTGTTACAACTGCAACATGACAAGATGCTCAAAACAGCAGGAATGAGATGTTCAAAATGGTGGAACAAAAAACCAAGCAAAAGTTTAAGAGGTTGGTTGAGATTCATCATAACAAAGGTTAACTTCCATTAGTATTAAAAATAACATAAACAATTTAATCAAAAGAATGTAGACATTTAGCAACTAATAATGTAGTAGAAACAAGAAAATTACAGGATCTCATCTCCAACAGCGATCACCGAAGCAGTGAGCATGCTTTGTTTCTGCAAATCGACATTGCTCGCCCCATTACTCGTAGGATTTAGCACAGAAGGTGAAAACCGTTTTGCTCTCCCTGCTCTTTCCGACCTTCCATCTGAAAGCAAGTATGCAGGTCTAAATTTCCCCTTGCTTCCAGTGGAATTATTAATGCACAACAATGCATTTGGAAGTGTATCATGTATACTCCCAATTGAAGTATATCTACAAAATAAAGCTAAATAAGTAAGTTTAAATATCAAGGAAAAGCTTTGAAAAGAGTAAAGTGGGCATCACAAACAAACACAACCCTGCAGCTACAAGAGCAAAAGAAAAAACATTCTGTGTTTGTTAGGTATCATTACCCTTGATCATAAAGGCTGCAGTACTGAACCTTGCAAGTTAATAGGAACGCCCATACATCTCTGGGAAGAAGAATAAAAAAAAAACAACCAATAGTCATATTTCCTCAAGTAGAATATCAACTATTAAGTAGAAAAGTGCACATTCTACCCATGGCCAGTGTTCTCATAGGTTTTTCATCTCAATTTGAGGAGTCACCTAAAGAAAAATTAGGGTGGGTAAAAATGAAATAGAGCATGTAGTACCAAACGATACCTGTACGACCAATCCAAAATGGGATTCACTCTCATAAATGGTGGCCATCCAGGTGAACTAGGGGAAAACTGTTCTTGGCCAACCTGTTTGTTTTGAGAGAGAGGGGAGTAGACAAATCAAGGCATCTTCATTTCAAATTGACGTTATTAAATAAATGGATCCTACAATAACCAGAGTTTAGGGAGATATAGCGCAAACAATACCGCGGTAGGATCCCCAATACGAACACCAAGGAAAATAGCTCTGACAGGTCTATTTTTCAATAAAGACTCCAAGCCAGATTTGAAATCTGTCCGGATGATATCCATTAGCAGGCCATAGCTGTTATGTAAGAATGAGTTGAATATCAGTTAGCTTAAAGTGACGCTATAGAGTTAATTCCCTGAAGTGAAATTAAATGTGTTTCTCTTACTTAGTTGCCATATCATAAGTAAATGAGTTAATTTCAGGGAAAGCAGAAGGGCTCTCGAAATATATTGTTCGAATAGGAAATTCCTTGAGTCCATCAACAGAACAGCCTTCTTCCTCCTTATGCAGGAAAAATGCAGCTCGAAGTATGTGCAGTAAAACCTGCACATTCAATTTTCCATGAGAACCAATGAAGAAAAAAGAAACTAGTTGATAAACAGAGTCCGAGATTGAAACTTACAGTCGAATCTTTCCCGCCATTGAAGCTGAAAGCGACCTCTTCAGTGCTGTTGATGATACAAGTTACAATGTGTTATAACATGAGAAAAATTTGAGGTAAATGCCATTTTATGTTTCAGGCAATGGTATCATATAAATGAACCCCTTCACATAAATCATTTTCCCAATTTCAACTAATAACTTCCGTATAAGAACTACCAATAATTACATCGGTGGGAATGGAATAATTCAAATAATTAAAGGGCTTTCATGCATCACGTATTAAAGTCAAAAGTAAGATTAAAATTTATCCGTTTCTATAACCACAAGTTTCAAGGCAACCAGCAAAAAACCAATCAACATTAACTCAAGAATGACAACACACCAAACAACCATCAGAAATCGACAAAGAAGTACTTACGAATATAAAGACAAAGCTCTCTTAACAACATAGATGGCGTTATTGTACTTGGTCTTGAGCCTCCGATCGTCACAATCTCTGATTGCTTTATCGATCTCCATGCCCTCTGATACATTAAACTCATTTTACGTTACTAAACACAAACAAGTCCGAAACAGTTTTGGCGACCTCAGGAAATCCCAGAAGATGGGAAGGGGGGAGGCATCCGCTCATTTCCAAGAATATGAAACCTCTCTTAAACGAAGTAAGCAAAATGGGTATTCGTCAATTGAAGTATAGAAGCTATTTTCAGCTAATCTACGTAAGTAAAAGTGAAGTAACTCACCTTAATCAACACTGAAGATGCGCCAATTGAGAGGGGAAACTGGAAAAGGAAGAGGAGGGAGAAAAGAGAGAGAGAGACGCCCACCTTGTTGAGATGAAGGATCTCAAAGACGGAGAGGGAATAGAGGTGTTGTTGGAATGCCACAGATTGATTATCTCTGGAAATTGGAAGTCTTGTTTAGAATCTTGGTGTTGGGTGATGCTCTAATCTTGGAAGGAAAAAATGAAGCGGAGGGGAAGTGGGGCACGGCACAACCCGTTGAAAGTTGAAAAGTGAAAACTGAAATTTGAGTCGCTTCGTCGGGTAATGATAATAATGGGAATGGGAAGGGATACTGGGAATCTCCCCTCTCCTTTTTCGCAATTTACACAGGAATAAAAAAGATGCCTTCTCATTTTTTTTATATACCTTCTCGTGTTCTAGATGTCATCCACGGCCCATTCTTTGTGGCCTCAATTTCGGGTTTGATCTTCTTGGGCCCACCAGAGAGCCCAAAAGTTTTATCATTTCTTAAACCAGCTGTTATCCCTTCTATCAGTTTGAGCGACGGTCCTTTCATCACCTCGGCCTACTAAGCTGACTTTTCTCCCTGCCCGACAGGTGAGTCTTGCAGTCAAGACCCTTCCATTTGACACTGTCAGGCCACTAGGCCGACTTTTGTCCCTACTCAAGGTGAGTCTTGCCGTCAAGCTCCCTTCTGCCTTTACACTCCAGTGTCAATCTCTGTCTGGTCTGAGCAAATCTTTACACTCCTCCGTTACCTTTAAAGTATTTTCATAGGCTAGATTTTGAGACTAAACTCATGCACTTCTTCGTTGACTCGAGCTTTTTAGCGTAAACGTAAGCAATAGACATGATAAAAATGTACTAATCAAACATTAAGTGGGAGCTTGTAGTTATTAGTATGTGAGAAATTCTGTTCATTACTTATTAATAAGATTTGAATCCATGACCAAAAAAGTTTCTAATATCTTAGTCGATCTTTCTAAACACGACTTACTAGTTAAAGTAAAAATCTCGGTATGCAGATTACCCAGGAAGACGACGACAACGAAAAACAAAAAAAGTCGTCATCTTCTCTCAGTTAATTACAAATCAGCATAGAGTACAAGAGAACCATCTATTCTGCTCATCAATTTTGTTCAATGGTTATACCAAAAAATGAATAGAAGCCTTGAAAAGAGGGGCAAAGAAAGAAGAACAATGCACTTCTGATAGATTGTATGAGAAAGCCTAATCATAGAGATCATCTTCAAGCCAGATATCAACCAAGAAGTCCACCATTTCCTGCAGAATCCAATAAAAAGAAGCTTTATAAAGTATAAGGAATCGAAAGGGAAGGATGAGGATGAAGAACAAAGAAACCTTACAGCTAAAGGAATCGGCTGCTGAAAAGGCTCTGCAGTTAAAAGAAGATCTTCATAAGTCGTGGTCCAGCTACAACCAACAATCAATTGAAGATCTTCTTCAGCAAACACAAGAACAGGGAAATCAACAGCAGTTTCTAAACTGACACTCGAAGCTAAATGGAATTAATACCTCAAGATTGGTTCCATTGGTACTTGTTGCAGGTTTCCCGAACAGTCGCCGACCCATTCCCGCCTGCGTTCATGCCAAGCTATCTCCGCTGTACAGAAAATGATGCAACATCATGACATGTCCGAGGATATTTGGTTGGTAAATCCAATGGAGATGTCACCAAATGGTATGGTATTGAACACTAGCTTAACAATCGATGGATTGAGCGAAGAGATTCACCGTGGTTGACAAATGTAGGCATCTCATTAGACTTAACGTTTGAATCACCTGAAGAATGGTTTCCATTCCCTTTCAAATTAGGATTTCTACCATTGATTTCCATTTTCTCCATAATGAACAACCATTGCCTTGAAGAACTGTTATCTGTAATTCTGTACACATGAGATAAAGGAAACGAGCTCCTTGAGGAGAATTCACGGGGGATAGAGAGAAAAACAAAGAAAAGGCGCCCAAGTGTCCAAGAAACTACGGTAGCAACTAAGAATGTGTTCGGAAAAGCTTTCGGAGTACTGTTTAGGTAACAACTCAAGCTCAATGCTCCGAGATATTGTCTTTTTGGGTTTTCTTTTCCATGCTTCCCCTCAAGGTTTAAAAACTTTTATAAAGGTGTGAAAACCTTTCTCTAGTAGACACGTTTTAAAACCTTGACGGAAAACCCAGAAGGAAAAGCTTAAAAAGACCAATATCTACTAGCGGTGGGCTTGAATTGTTATAGTTTATGAGTAAAGACTTCAAACACTATTCAAATGTTTACTCCAAAAGCACTTCAGTGCTTCTTACAACACATTTTTATGTGTATCTACCTAGCTAGATGTCATGGAAAAAATTTAGAAAGTATCTTTACTAGTTAAAAGCCAGCAGAGAAGAATTCTTTTCTTCTTCTCCAGTTTCATGGTATGGCTTATGAACTACAACTCTACTGATTCCTAAGAGATAAGCAAGAACCAACACAAACACATAACAATTTCAAGAAATCGACATTTGAGACACCAAAGAGTTACCTTCCAATCAAAGATCCATCAACGAAATATGATGCTTAATTCGAAAAATTAGGATCAACTGTTCGTGTTTCTCAATAAACTTACATATCCAAGGTTTGCCACATTTCAGAAACAATCATCGGACAAACAATCACTCCAAAGAGACTATGATTCAAAAGAAAAACGCAAAAAAGTCGCAAAAATCGTCACAGAAGCAGAAATGGAAGAAAAATTTGAACAAGTAGGGCAGAGGAGGGGGGGTACCTTTTGACCCTCAAAAAGGGAGCAAAACAGTGAATCCTGTAGCGAAGCGTTGAGAATGGGGTTGATCCGAAGGAAAATTACCGAAGAAGAAACTGCCCCACTTTTCAGCATCAGCTACAGATCAAACCCGAAAGAAAGGGGGGGAAGTAAGTGGATTCTTGAGCGCTAAACGGCGATACAATACTGACAGTTTCCTTTGATCCAACGGCTGTAATTCTGCCAAGTGCCAGCAGATGTGTGGTTGAAGGTTACATTCAAAACCCCATCTGGGACCCCAACAAATGAAGAAGAAGAACAACAACAACAAGTCGGGGGTGCGGTGGATTTGGGAGATCCTACATCTTGGGCCTCTGGTTTTAATGGCATTTCCTTTTGTATTTTCTGGGGATACGAGATATGATCTTCTGTAGAGCGTTCAAACATGATACCCCATTCAATAATGGTCCAATTTATGAGGTTCGGTAATGCTGGGGACTGGTACAATCGTACGATCTTCATTACAGTTTTCATGGAAACAATAATGGAGCCTTTCGGATCTTCATGGAGGCAATCATCAAATTCCCCTTTTCTTACTTTCATCTCCTCCCTAAATTCTTCTCCTTACCCATTCTTTTTGATTATGAGGGGACGATTACATATAAGGAGGGAACAATTCCGGTTGATTATGAGGCGGACGATTACATATAACGAGTCAAACCGGAAAATATTTAAGTTATTTCAAATAATATCAGTCATCAAGGTATGAGACTTTGGTTGGAATAAACCTAACTCGTCAGACAAACACTAATTCGATTAGGGCTAGACTGGTTCGTCAACAACCTATTTGTTTCTTATTTAAATTTAAAGGTTGCTTTTTCAATTTGTTAAACCTAACTTGTTAGAGGCGTAGCTGACAGTGATACATAATAGATTAAAATCGAGAATATCTACTAGCGGTGGGCTTGAACGGTTACAAATGGTATCAAAGCCCATTACTAGACAGTTTGAGACACTGGTTGAAATAGGGCTAGACGTCCCCCGGTAGACGCATTTCAAAACCATGAGATTGACAGTGATAAGTAATAGGCCAAATAAATTATTTATAATAGGCCAAATCGGATAATATTTGTTAAGTAAAATTATTTATAACCGTATAACATTAAGATATATTATCCCTTATTTTATTTACGTTATTAATATTATTATTTTAAATTTGTATAAATGATATAGTTAATGATATCATTTATGTTTTTCATATTTTATATATATTATTGAAAAGAAAATGTTGTTATTATAATATTAATGATTATTATGTCGTGTCTATCATCTCAACATTTTTTATTTGTCTTTTTATCTTTATGTGTCATATGATTATGTCTAATTTAATTCATAATTACATATATTGTCTATAGGCTAAAAAAACAATTGGTTAATATTTACGAAATATTAAGCTACATTACTGAATATGTATTAAATAATTAAATGTAAAATCAATACTCGAATAAATAATAATATTGAAAAACATTGTGCAAACTGTTAAATTACCTTAATTATTTAAAAGAAGCTATTCAGCAAACTGTAGTGGGCTCGGTCTGACAACCACGTTAGGCCCATTAGCAAATATGTATTAAAAAATAAACAAATAATAGCAAGCCATTATCAATACCATTACTTACTATATTAAAAAATATAATATTTGAGAATTATTTTTATTTTTTTTATTAATCAATTATATTGGTTTTATACCGCTCTAAAATGTGAGACAGCTTGTAATTATTTTTTAAATTTTATTTATTTTATCATTTTATTAAAAATAATATATATTTAAAAAAAAAAAAATAAATATTGTTAAATTTTTTAAGATAAGAAAAAACGTACGAAATTACCTCTTGGGGTAAAATACAGTGTTGTCGTTGTGTACAGTCAATAGAAAGTGTCGGTAAGGCTTAGATTTTTTTTTTAATATATATATAATATTATTATTACTATTATATTTTTAATATTTTTTTAATTAATAATTCAATACTTTTTTCTATCAATAATTTGTTGTCATATGCATGAATGATGTATAAGGTATCCAAGGGATTTTGTGTCTGAAACTTATGATATCCTTATTATTTTAATATTTTATTTCTTTTTATTATCATGTATTTATTATTTTTCTCCATAATATAAATAATTATATAATTTCAATATTTTATGTTCCAACCACTTATATATATAAATTATGTAATATGATTAAACAGTCAAATGTACAAATTCACTCTTTAAATGAAATAAATAGTTAGTAAAGACTTATCAGTGCTTCGTGGTTTGGACTATTTCCACGTGTTTTTTTAATATGTCTGGTTGGAAATAATTCACATTTTTATAAAGTTTTTGTTCTTTCTATTAACAAACGCGAGCATAGATCAATTAGAATAAAAATATATATTATTGACGAAAACGTAAATAAATGTGGATTCTTTTACTAGTTGAAGTAAAATAATAATAAAAAATTAAAAATAATTTATTGGTATTTTTTTATATTTAAAATGTGATTATGATATAAAGATTGAATGAGACATGGAATAATATAAATGTATTGGGTTTATCACAATGTTATCAAGAGATCTGTACATAAATTTGTTAGGTCACCAAACAAGAATCTTTTAAATTCCTCGCAACTTCCACTTATGACGTGGATTTGTCTTAATTTGTTGATTTTTAAAAAGAATTTATATTCTTGCCTTTTAAATCTTTCCGAATCCTTTGAATTTCGAGGTCTATATATATTGATTTTAGGTAAAAAAAAAAAACCCCAATTATTTAGATAATAGGTTGATTACCTATGATATTTCATTTAATTAATTAATGTGAGATTTCAATAATCCTCTGATACCATGTCAGAAATAACTACTCTCTAGATTAGTTAAAGTAGTTTAAATTCTCCTATATTCATTGCACTATCATACAACATAACACCTTTCTATTAATTCTTGCAAAATGGCAAAGGAAGACCTCTCCTATTTATTTTTAGATTTAAAAAAATTACATAAAAAATATAAGCTTTTAAAGTCACCGGCAAAGTTTTAAAAACAAAAGATCATAAATGGAAAAGGTTATTAATGTAGAATTTTGTATTTGTATATAATTTTTTATTTTTTATTTTTATTTTCCTTTTGAAAATAAGACAAATTAAGTAAATAGATCTTATAAAATTCCAATCAAAATTGTTCGAATAAAAACAAATTCTTAAAATTAATCGGATAATTTATCAGAAAAAATAAAAACAAAACAAAAAGAAAATTACAATATCTGGAAACACGGAAAATTCATGCACCCATTGGAATCTAAGCTGGCAAATTATGACTGGCCGACACTATAGTGCGGTGACTGTCACAGTACACATTTGTCAACGCGCAGAGCGAAGAAAGTATCCGGAAGAAGAATCCAGTGTACTTGAGCCTATGATAATCTAAAAGAAAAACCGCCTGGTAGAATATGGCGAAATCACAACCGTTTGACTGAAGGATCAAATTTTAAAGATACAATCTTATCCAGTGCACCCTCCCACAGTGAATAAAAGAGAAATCTCCGACCACATGATTGTTATTTTTACAAATTTATATAAATACGTACAATATAAATGGCCCACCGCATCAAATTCTTTAAACAATATTTACATTATAATTATGTGCCTTTCATGGAGTATGGTTCTCCCCTATATTTATTCTATCTTCTCGATTTTTCCTTTTATTAAATATTACGTCATATATTACGTGATGTTCGAATTTATGACATCTAAAAAATATTTTAATGAATACGTGGCAAAAAAAAACCTAACATATATAGGTCTTAAATTGGGTTGATTGTTTAATTAATTAAGGAAAATGAGTATTGAAGTTTATCCTACGTGGCCAAAACATAAGTGTGGGACCGGGGTCCTTCCAACTAGGCAAATAAGCCTTTATTTATTTATCTACCGTTCTCTATTCTATCCTCCTTACACTCACTCACTCCTTCCACTTCCACTCTTCCATGGCTTTCTTCTTCTTCCTCCTCCTCCTCCTCCTCTCCCCCGCGGCCGCCGCCGCCTCCTGGCCGCCCTCCCCCGGATTCTGGCCGAGCACCCACGTCCGCTCCATGGAATTCTACAAAGGCTTCCGCAACCTCTGGGGCCCTCAACACCAAAGCCTTTCTCAAGACACTCTTTCCATTTGGCTCGATCGCACCACCGGAAGTGGATTCAAGTCCCTCCGCCCTTTCCGATCAGGATACTTCAGCGCCTCCATTAAACTCCAACCCGGCTATACCGCCGGCGTCATCACCGCCTTCTATGTATGTAATTTTAATTTCATGTTTCTGGGTTTTTAATCTTTCCTGTTTTGTAATCCACCTCTGGTTTTTTAACGGCAGCTCTCCAACAACGAAGCTCACCCAGGATTCCACGACGAGGTCGACATCGAATTCTTAGGAACCACATTCGGTAAGCCTTATACATTACAAACCAATGTTTACATCAGAGGAACCGGCGATGGTCGAATCATCGGAAGAGAAATGAAATTCCATCTCTGGTTCGACCCCACTAAAGATTTTCACAATTACGCCATTCTATGGCGCCCAAACGAAATCATGTACGTTCATCACCCACATCATTCAATTTCATCTGGGTTCTGTTCCACTCTGCTAACGACTCTGTTTTCTTCATCCTCTGTTTTCAGATTTCTCGTCGACGACATACCCATCAGAAGGTACCCAAGGAAGAGCGCTGCGACATTCCCACTAAGGCCAATGTGGGTTTATGGCTCGATATGGGACGCATCTTCATGGGCCACAGAGGATGGGAAATACAGAGCGGATTACAGATACCAACCATTTGTGGCTAAGTATAGGAATTTCAAAGCGAGGGGTTGTTCGGCGTACTCGCCGGCGTGGTGCCAGCCGGTATCGGCGTCGCCGTTCCGGTCAGGGGGGCTGAGTAGGCAACAGGAGAATGCAATGAAATGGGTACAGAGCCATCAGTTGGTTTATAACTATTGTTGGGATAACAAGAGAGACCATTCCTTAACACCAGAGTGTTGGCATTAGAATTTCGCGGGGGATTGAGCTTTATCATGCACTGAAAGTGAAAACTCCATTAAATTTTTGCTGTTTTTTTTTTTTTTTTTTTTTT